CTTCCAGGCCACGGACTCACCCTCCCCCCAAAAAACGACCCCTTACCTTGGACCACACGCCCATGCCAAAGGTGCTGCTTTCTGCCGTCTGGTGCAGGTTCAGCTCGGTCCTGGAAGCAGAGAGGGCAGATCTGGGGGGCGTGGCCATACGCGGAGGGCGTGGTCATACGCGGAGGGCGTGGCCATGCGTGGGGCGTGGTCATACGCGGAGGGCGTGGCCATGCGTGGGGCGTGGTCATACGCGGAGGGCTTGGCCATACGTGGGGCGTGGCCATACGCGGGGGCGTGGCCTGATGTGGAGGGCAAGGTCCCGCAGGTAGGGCCCAGGGGCTCCTCTGGGGCAGCCCCGTCCTCAGAGGTGGCTGTGACCTGTTTCTCGAGGATGTCAAACTCACCAGGAGCAGTGGTGGCCCCCGCCTGCCATCCCAGCAGCTCAGGAGGCCAAGGCAGGAGGATGGCGAGTTCAAAACCAGCCTCAGCAACTTAGTGAGGCCCTGAGCCACTCAGTGTTTTTTAAAAGGCTGGGGATGGGGCTCAGTGGTTGAGCGCCCCTGGGTTCAATCCACAGGGCAAGAAAAGGTGCCAGACTCCTCGAAGTCAAACCCACCAACACCCAGAGACCCCGGGACTGGGCCGGGCTGGTGTGGAGGACAGCCGCCTGCAGCAGGCATGGCCCAGCCGGCCTCTGCACTCCCTGGGTGCCCCCAGCCGTCCCCGACTCCAGCCCTCCCAGGGGCTCAGGAGAGACCCAGTGCAGGGCCCCAGGGAAGAGGGGAGCCGTGCATGTATCTCAGGGCTACAAGAGATGAGGAAATGGAGACCCACACGGGGCAGCCTCTCCCGAGGCCGCGGGCTGGAATGGGGGACTGGAAACTCCCTGTCGGAATCACCTCTTCACCCTGCCCTGGTACGTCCTTCCTAGGCACCACACACCGCTGCCCGCACACATGATATTGTTTAATTACCCACACCACAGTAAGTGCCCATTCTACAGAAGAAGAAACCGAGGTTCAGGAAGGCCCACCTGGGGCAAAGCCAGGAGCAAACACCCGTCCTCTGACTCCAAAGCCAGCCCTTTCCAGAACATACCTGGTCAGGGCGGGAAGGGTTGCAGGCCACTAAAAATCCTCCCCAAATCCCAGCAAGCACAAAGCTCTCACTGTGTTCACTCTTTGGCCCTCACAATAGCACCCTGAGGTAGCCATAGTCACACTCATTTTACAGATGAGGAAAGTAGGGTTCAGAGAGGTGCATCACTAGTCAAAGGTCACACAGCCAGCAAGTGAGGGAGCCACAAATCCACGTGGATACAAATCCACGAAGCCTGGCCCAGAGCCTATGGTCTTAGCCACAATGCTGTGTTGCCCTATGCCTAGTTCTTCTGTGCGTCCTTTAGGCTTTCCAGAAGTTTCCTTACTGCTCAGGTACCCTGTTCTGGAATCCCCAAGTCCTTTCTCTCATCTGCCCACTCTCTGCAGGGCACGGTTTCCCCTCCGGCCTCAGCTAGAGGCTCAGGACAGATTGAGCTTGTCCTTCCAAGGGAGGACGGAGAGGGGCTAATGTACCTGGGGAAAGACCCCGGGGGTTCCACTAGGACCTTCTGATCTGTCGGCCAGATGAGAAACCGAGGCCCAGAGAGAGAGCGAGAGCCTGAGGAAGCCTAGAGAGCCAGGAGGGAGAGGGGACCCCGGGCCCCCTCCTCCAGTAAGCCCTCCAGAGGAGGCCAGGCCAACTCCTGCTCCCTGCCCTGCCAGCTCGCCCTCCGTCCCAAGGCGCCCCACCTGGGCACCTGGCCATGTGCACTCAAGGCAGCCACAAAGGTCACGACTTCTGGAAGACATGGGGTCTCTTCCCCCACGCTCAGGCCCCGTACCCACTTGTCACCGTCCCAGCGGACAGCCCTGCCCCTCCAGCTCCGAATGGGAATCGTGTAAGGTCTCTTCAAGACATCGTCTCCACCTTACAGAGGAAGAAACTGAGGTTCCGAGTGGATGGGCTGTGCGCAAGGTCCCCAGGCCACGAGCACCGCGTCCCTCGGGGACTGAAGTCAGGGGCCCTTCTTCACACCTGGGTCCGTGGCCTCTCAGCTCCAGGCAGAACCTGGACCGGGCTCTGGGGACAGCGATCCCTTGTGCCACCCACCCATCCCGGCACTCACCTGAGATCCAGGTCCAGCCCAGCCAGCATCTGGGAGAAGACCTTGAAGTTGCCCTCCCCGTCCGGCTGCCGAGCCACTCGGCTCTTCTCCAAAAGCATCGTCTGGGGGGCAAAGGTGGCCCTGTCACTGTGGGCCCCTCTGCCCACTGCCACCCGCCCACCCTGAGGCCACATCTTCTGGTCCAAGTGTCGCGGGTTCGGAGTCCTCCGGAAAGGACACCCCGCACACAGTAGCTACAGTGAGCCTCAGGGAAGTCCCCAGCAGGGCCACCTCGGACACCGTCCCAGGGACAGGAGCTCTACAGCCCCAAGGCCATGGTGCTCATGTGGGGGCCAGGCCGGGACAGCGACGTCCCTTCTGTCAGGCACCCAGGAGACTCCCTGCCCCGGCTGTGATCCCATTTTCTATTCAAACAGCATGTGGGGGGGGGCGGGTGATTTTGGAGATGGGGACAAACAGGCCATGTGTTGTCACCCATGGGTGGCCCAGCGCAGCTGCGCGGCTGTTTAGCTTCAGCTTCTGGATTTAAGCCCCAGCTAAAAAGCGCCTGGCCACCCACTTGGTCCTGGAGATTTCCCCCTGTGATGGTCCCCAGAGCAGATGGCCAGGCGCTTGAGGGAACACTTGGGGCACCCAGCAAGAGGGGCGCAGTTGAACGTGGCCACTGAGGTCCCAGCTGGAGGGTAGAGTCATTAGAGTGCAGCTGGAGACACAGCAGCCTCCGTGCACCCCGAGGCTCACCTGGAGCTGAGCGGCTGTGATGCGGCCCATGGCGTTGAAGTCCAGTGACATCACCATGCTAAATCGGGTGGCGCTGCGGCTGTGGCTGGTGGACACAGAGCCAAAGGCCCTGAGGACCATAAAGGCCGCTCGGATCTTCTCCACTGTAGGGTGCAGGGCAGGCTGTCAATCACGCCTCCCCCAGGACGGCCCTCCCCTTGCTGGCCCCTCCCCGCGGGCCCTTCCTCCCCCCCCTTCAGCTCTAGACCACGCCCTCCCGCTCTAGACCACGCCCTCCCGCTGAGCACCTGCCTGCAAGGGCCCGGGGAAGGAGCAGGGCGCAGGGCAAGGCCCAGTCCACTAGGGGGAGCCAACTGCGGGACAACTCCCCAATGGTGGTTGGCCCAGGGCCTCCTGGAACTAGGACCAGGGCAAAACATTCCCCCACCTGAATGCAGAACCGAAGGCCCAGCAGCAGGCCTGAAAGTCCTGCCATCTCTCCACAACTGTCCGCTGAGTACCCGAGATACATCCCTCACTCCTCTAGGCACCTAGATACAGCCCATCCTGACTCCCACCTTCAAACACACACACACACACACTCCCAGCAGAGCTACACCATGGGAGGACAGGGACTGGGCCTCTGCCACATCCCCTGCTCCTAACAGGGGCCTGGTGCAGAGAAGAGACCCAGGGCAGCACTGGAATATCCCTGGGGAGGGAGCAGGGCACAGTGGCCAAGAGAGCTCAGCTGTGGGCTCTGCCTTGGCTGGTCACCTGACTGAGGGAAGGAAGGAGCCCTCTGTCCCGAGCCTCTGGTGGCCTGCTGGCAACCTGAGGGTAGTGACATACCCACTTCACGCGGTTGTCATGAGGACAGGATGATTGAATAATGCAAAGCACTTAAAAGTTCCCGAAGGGGTGATGTTGTTATTATATTATAGAAAAGCAGTTTATTAGTAGTGTCACACATAATAGAACATTCTTAGTTGATATTACACTATAGAAAAGCAGGGTCGCGTGGGCTCAGTGAGGAGGACAGAAACCACCCTCAATGGGGGCAGAAACTGGTTCCTGAAAGTGGCAAATATATATATATATATATATCTTTTTTTGGTGCTGGGGATTGAACTCAGGGCCCCTCGACCACTGAGCCCCGTCCCCAGCCCTGTTTTGCATTTTATTTAGAGACAGGGTCTCACTGAGCTGCTTAGGGCCTCGCTGTGGCTGAGGCTGGCTTTGAACTCGTGATCCTCCTGCCTCAGCCTCCCCAGCTGCTGGGATGACAGGTGTGGGCCACCGTGCCCGGCTCCCAGAAAAAAAATAATTGCTCTTTTTATTACAGAGCACAGATAGACGCTCCCACACGTGGGTACACGGTTCCCCTGTGGTACTAAATGTCCACTGTAGGGCAGGCGACAGAGGGGAAGTGTCTTAAGCTCCTGGGGGACAGCAAGGAAGGCCTGAGATCCTGGCCCGGAGGTTGGGATCAGGAGCCAGGCTGCCTGGTTTTGCATTCGGCTCTAGGACAGATGGGCTGTGTGGCTTTGGGCAAAATACTTGACTTCTCTGACTCTCAGGGCCTTCACCTATAAAATTCAAACAGTCACATCTACCATATGGCCCACCACAGGCCTGTTGTAAATTACACATAAGTTCGTATTCACGGAATAAGGCCTGGCACACACGTCCCTGGCAAACATGCACTCGGATCGTCATTAAATTGTAATCATCATTATGACTAATTGGCACTCTTTCTTTAAGGCTCAGCTCACATCTCACTGCCTCCAGGACCTTCCTGGTGCCCCTCCTGTGTGCTTCAGGGGCCTGACCAGCTCTGCCAGCCCTTTTGCTGGACATTTGCCTGTGTCCATACATAGGCACAGGTGCATTTCCCTTCAGGTCTCCGCTTTGCCTTCCTGTCTCCACTCGGGGGGCACTCTGTGCGGTTCAGCAGGTTGTACACTGCACAACAGCACGGCCTCTGAGGCCCACACGGTTCACCTTATGTCATCACAGATTCTTAGACCTATTAGGATGGCTCCCCAGCAGACGGCAGTCCAGTGTCTGGTTCTAACAATGCCCACTGTTGAAGGCCGTTCTGTAAATGGCCATTGATATCTTGAGGAACAAATATCTTTATCTAAGCCGCACAGCGGTGCCCAACAGTCCGGAGGGGGCCCTCAGGAGCAAGCACATCTAGTCGGATGGCTATGAGGAGGGGAGCCCCGCACACGCCTGCTCCGACCCTCCCCTTCCTGTCTCCACCTCCGCCATGTGGCCTGGAGCCCGCCGTACCTGACACCCTGCCGTCCACACTGCCTGCCATCGCCACCAGGTGCTCCAGGACCTGCTCGCAGCAGGTGGTCTTCCCCGCGCCACTCCGGCCCAGGGCCACGATGCTGTGGTCCCTCCGCTGGCTCAGCAGCTCCCAGTAGGCCCGCTGGGCCAGGGAGCAGACGTGGGCAGGCAAGCCGTCCCGGCGGCCCCTGGGCACCTGCAGGGATGACAGGTGTCAGCCTTTCCCTCAGCCCCTGCCCCGGGCACTGTGGGCCAGCACCCACCCCCAGCGAAGGTCCCTCCATGTCCCTGGCAGGAGCCCCGAGGGCCCGCAGCCTGGGTTTCCTCCCAGCTCAACCTGAGAGTCCAGCAGCACCTCTGGGCGCCTGCCCAGCCCTCCTCATCTGTAAAGTGGGCTCATAATGGGGACGGTCCTCAGCGCCACTTCCTGTCCCTCTCCAGCCTTGACAAGGGGTCCTGGCACCTGGCTGAGAAGGGCCCAGCCTGTGAGTCCAGTCCTTCCAGTGGCTCTCTGTGAGACCCTGGGCCACCCAGACCCACAAGCGTCTGCGTCTCCCCTTCAGCTATCAGAGGTTTCACCCGGAGTCGCCTGAGCCCAGGGCATCGTCACCCTCGTGGCTCGGAGCACACCTAGGAGGTGCCTGCCATGAGATCCCCAAAGTAAATGGTCCAATCGATTAGTAATGTCTGCCATGGATCAAATAGCATGATCGATTAGTGATGTCTGCCATGGCCAGGGGACTATCAGGTGGGGAAGGATGCTGGTGCTGTCCCCCATGGCAGACCTAGGAGAAACCCCAACCCCATCCCTACACCATCCATCCTTTCCACCCTCAGGAAGGAGACCCACAGGGTGCCTGCTGTGTGGGAGGCCCTGTCCTGGGCGCCGGGGACACAGCACCACATTAAACCCTGACGCCCGCGGGAGGAGACTTCGCATGATTTATTAGAAGGGCTCAAAGATTTTTTTTTTTTAATAGTCACTGTCAAGTGCCAGTGCATCTGCAGAGCAAGGAGTCTCAGGCTGCACGGGAGGGGCGGGGACAGGACAGGACAGCGTCACCCTGGAGCAGTGTGGCAGTTTCCTCCTCGGTGACACACACGCTGCCCAGCCAGCCCCACGACACCCGTCCAGGTGTTATTCAAGCAAAATGAAAATGTGTGTCCACAGAAGTCACATCGCTGGTCACAGTGACCACCTGGACAAAGCCACAAGACCTGGGAACAGCCCAGATGTCCTTCAACCAGTGAGCCAAGGCGAGCAGCCACCGAGCTGTGCCCTGCAGGTCCCCGGAGAGGGCACCGGGCCAGCTGGTCACGCCACAAACAGACAAGGAGACCCGCAGAGAGCACAAGGACTCGATGGCAGGTGCGTGGACAAGACCCCGGGCGGGACCTGCCGCCGTTAGAGCTGTCCTAGGACGTGATGGGCCGGCCGGCCGGGACTTTTTAGAAAACGTGAGCGTCTTGGAGGAAAATGAAATCCGCAGCTGCCGGGGTGGGACTCGGGGTGGGCTGCACCCCAGAGGGGCCCCCAGGGCTTTTGGAGTGACAGGGACCGTCCTGGAGCTGGCTGCAGAGGCCTCCGAGGCTGTGTCCGAAGCCCCCTGACCGCAGGCCGAGGCAGGGGACGCTCTGAGAGCTGCGTGAACCTGACCTTGGTGACCAGCCCTCCCGCCCCACGGAGCCGCGGCTGCTGGAGGAGAAGAGGAAGAGACAGAGCCACCCCACGGGCACAGCCTGCACAGGGTCACCAAGGACGCGGGGGAGGTGGGGACGCGGAGCCCTGGCCCTGGAGGCCAGGGGACATGGAGGACAATGTCCAAGACCCCAGACACCAAGTCGTGACCACAGCAAGCCCCCGCCCCATGCCTTTGTGGGACCAGGGGACAAACCCCAGGAGGGACACCACCCACCCTGCTGGACACAGCCTGGGGCACAGGCAGGCAGAGGGCACAAGGTCAGCCCTCGGGCCAGCCTTGCTCTGGAGTTCCAGGGACAAGCCAGCCCACTTGTGGGATGCTGGGACTCTGGTCTGGGGGAGGGGTCTCCGCAGATTCGGCCCTCGGTGGCACCCAGGGCGTGTCTGTGCATGGGGACCCGCCACACAGGCACAGGCATTGAAGAGGTGGAGGCCCGTGCACAGAGCCGTGCCCAACGGTGCCCCGGTCCCACGCATGCTGACGCCCACAGGGACTCTGTTCCCCAGCTCCCAGCTCCTGGGGACCACGACTCCCACGGCTGTCCCCTAGAGTCACCCAGCCCATCTTGGGGTGGCCCCAGGCAGCCCCAGCATCACCGCAGGTCTGTGCTGCCACCTGGTGGCCATTTGGAGAAACAGAGCTGGACCCGGCCCAGGAGAGTGGGGGGCTGTGGTTTGGCTGCAGAGGCCGGGAGACTTAAGGGAAGGATGTGGGAAGCCCCAGGAAGGAGTCTGGGGGACCATGACACCCAAATGCCACCATCAGGGGATACCCCAGGGCCTGTACTCTTAGGCACTTTTGTGCAAGCTCTGATGCCCCAAATCCAGGACAGCTATGTGGACTTAGCCCGCTGTCCAGACTCTAAAACTGTCCCCTCCCAGGGTGGCCAAAGAGCCGAAGGAGTTGCTCAAGGATTCAGAGAGCTCAGAGACCTGGGATGCATTAACAGAGGCACAAGCATTCACAGCAGGGAGGGGACAGGCACCTGCCAAGCTTAGCCCACTCGGCTCCTGAGGCCCTCCCAGGCCCCTGCCCATGGACACCCACACCCAGAGAGGCCTGGGAGTCATTGGAGGGCACAGGTGAGTCACCCTAGAGAAGGAGATATTGGGAAGGGTGCAGGGCCACTATCTCCTCTGTGTGGACTGGCCTCAAGCAGGGATCAGGAATGGGTTTGTCACATGGGGATCCAGAGGGCAAGGTGTGGCTTTTCACCCCAGTTGACAGATGAAGAAACTGAGGCCAGAGAAGCATCGTGGTCTTTCCCAGGCCCCGGGTGTTCCAGGGAACTGTGCCTACCCCAAGGTCTCAGAACAGCGCCAGGAGGGAGCCTCGGCCTTCTGTCCCCTTCTCTTCACTTTGTCCCTTTCCACGTCTCCACCACAGCCCAGGGGACCCCTTCACCTCTGTCCCCCTGTCCCACTAAGAATCTCCAGGACCCACAGCAGCTCAGGTGGGAACTAGTGAGGGGGATGCCACTGTGGTTCCAGGTCCCCCCACAAGGTGGCGCACAGAGCTGTCCTGTGCCTGTGGTTCCATTGGCCAGATCCCCGCTTGATGGATAAGGGTGGCCTGAGGCTGCTCTTTCTGTATCTCGGCCCAGTGCGGTGGCACCGAGGGGTGAGCCTGCGGCCTGGGTCTTATCCAGGCCCCTCTGCAGGTTCAACCTGAGGGTCAGCAGCCTGCTCCCCTCTGACCACCAGCTTCTCATCTGTAAGACGGGCTGGGGACACCTGCCTTCCGGGGGCAGGTGGGAATCCACAGGCCATGCCCGAGTCTGGCCAGCTGGACATCATCTCTAGTGGCCCTGAGGCTCCCCCAGTGCCTCACCTCTCTTCCCCAGGAGAGGGGACCATGCCCCAGTACTGTCTTTGGCAGGAATGAAGGGTCTCCTGGGGTCCTGGTCCTCCCCTCCTCCCTCACCTCGTCCCCTGCCCCTCCCCGTCCCCCGCTCACCTTGGCTGCAGGGGGCGCCCAGGGACCCTGGGGCTGAAGGACGATCAGATCAGGCCCAGAGCAGGTGTGTGGCAGCTGGGCCCGGTAGCGGTGCAGAAGCGTGTTCAGGACGCTGGACTCATTGACGCTGACCAGAGAGGCCAGGTCCTCGGCCTGGTCCAGCTCGGGGGGGTTAGCCTGCAAGCCGGCACGAGGGCTGGTCTCCTGGGCCTCCGGGGACTGGCCACAGCAGCACCCACACACACGTGCACGCACACACACACACACCGTGGGCCTGTCCTTGGGAGCCACATGCCAAGGCCTGACCAGAACTCAGGACAGTGGCACAACAGGGGCCCCCTGCTACAGGACACACAGAGTCGTACAAGGTCTGTCCTTCCCACACTCTGCTCTGGGAGAGCAGATGCTCCCAGAGACCCCACAAAGCTCAGAGCACATTCGGTGTCCAGAGCGGCCACTGCTCTTTCCTCCTTTTCTAGATCTTACTGGACACCTCTGGGTGTCTCTGTGGCGCCCAGGGAAGGAGATCCATGGCCAAACACCTCCTTTACCTGATAGGCCATGGTTCCTTGATCCCTTGCAGATACACCCACATCCCTAGAAGAAATATTGATGCCCAATATAGATAGGCCAAGGAACCTAGGCTACAGTTCGAATTTAACTGAGCTCCCTGGCAGCCAGAATGCAAAAGGAAAGAGGCTCTGCAGCATGGCTTGCCATGTCCATAAAATGAAAAGCAACCTGTTTCTTGGGTCAGTCAGAACTCTCAGTGCCAAGGCCTGACAGAGGTGCTTCTTGAAGTTTTCTCATAAAGGGGACACCAGGGGACAGAGTCGCTCACCCCATGCGCTCTAGTCCCAGCAGCAGACCAGTGCGTTCCGTAGGGGCCATCCTACGGCTTTCTCAGGGACTCAAGCCAAAGTGGCGTCTACAAGGACATCTGCTGCAGGGACGGGGGTGAGGGTGCAGAGCAGGCCAGAAGGGGACAGGAGACTCACCCTGTGCACATGCTCCTCATCCACCTCCGTGACGGTTTGGTCAGCGTCGAGGCAAAGCCGTACCCTTCCCGCGGGCAGGTCGGCTGTTCCCTCGTCTGGCTTTAGCACCGTGGCTGGTGGAGAGCCCAGAGGGAGGACAGGAGGGACAGGAAGGGGAGGACACGAGGGGGAGGGAGGGGAGGACAGCATGTGTGAGCCAGGCCAGCTGCAGCGTGGCTCAGGCCAGGCCAGGCAGGGCGACCTGCTCTCCCCTTGGGTCTGTCCGCATGGAGGGCACTGAACTGTGACCCCAGGCCCTCTAAAGACAGGGGCTGAGGCTGACTTGCCGTAGTGCCAGGAACAGAGCAGGCACCCCGAGGGTTGGGTGAACTGGACATCTCACCCCTAGACCTGGGATGGCACAGACTGGCACTTCCCCTGGGGGTTCCCTGGCAGACATTGCTAATCAATCACTGTCCCCAGCCTGTTGTGACGGCAACTCGGAACCACTTCTTCGTAGAGCACGATCATGGGCCACAGCTCATCTCTGCCTGCTGCTCCTAGACCCTCAGTTCCTGTGGGACACCACAGGAACCAGCCCGATTTGTGGCATTAAACCCATTGATTAATTATCAAGGCTCCGATGTCTTTGATAACAGCACTCAGCAGGCCAGCTCCCCAGGGTGAGGTGACCATCGGCTATTCCCACTGTCTCAAAGGCCTTGTGTGCCCTTGCCGGTCTCTGCTGCACCCTAAGCATAACCAGGGCCTCCACAGTGACAACCACCGGCAGCGAAGGGCACAAGAAGAGAGGACTAGAGCCCCCCCACCCCACCCCCCGCACCGACACCCCTCCTTACCAAGAGTAAATCCGTCCTTCTGAACCAGCCAGACTTTCTCTGCCTGGTACCATCTGTCCTCAGGAGCCTGGGAGCAAAAGATCACACCGGTTAAATCCGCAAAGTGACAGCAGTCCTGCCTCCCAAGCCTAGACACCTGTCAGGGACAGTTGCCCACAGGGTGGTCTGAGACCATGAAGGGAATCAGAATCACCATGCAGACTCCGCTGGCCCTGGCCTTGGCTTTTTGAACAAGGGAACCCCCAAGACGCCCCAGATATGCATCTCAGCCAAGATGCTATTTTGGGCACCTCAGCTGTCAGACCTGCTGGGTGACAGGTGAGTAAACCGAGCCCCGCCTGCGGCAGAGGGAGATTTGCAGATTGAGAACCTTCTCTCCCAGAGCAGAATTCCAGCCCGGGGAACCTCAAGACCCTTGCCAGCCAACAAGTGCCACCCCTCCTCTGGGTGCCCCAGGACTCCCACCCTCCCCGGTTCCCTGTGCTGTCCCCTGTCCACCTCCGCACTCCCCCAGGGCAGCTTCTTCCTGCCGCCTCCCACCCGGGGTGCGCCCCAGCACCTGGTCTGAGTCTCCGCTCTGGCCTCCTCTGCTGTCCTCCTGCAGGGCTGTCCCCTCCTCAGGCTGCGTCTGCCCGACCCCCGGGGTCTCCGCAGGCCCTGGGCTTCCGTCCTGCTGCCGCATCCCAGGCCGGTCCTCGTCCTGGGCTCCTGTGGCGCAGGGCTCCTGCGCTCTGCCTTGCGGCGCGTCCTCCTTTCCGGCTGCCGCCAGCGACGGCCGCTCTGCAGCCACCTCCTCTGGGGCTCCACCTGCCCCCGGCCTGGCGCAGGGCTCACCTGTCCGCCCAGGTGCGTCTGCCGCCTCCGGCTCCCCAGGAGCGCCCCCTGGCGGCCCCAGACTGCCCTGCGCTGTGCCTCCTTCCGGCTCCTCGCTGCCCGCCCTGAGGTCACCTCCTTTGTCCTTCTTGCTCTGGGGACCACCCCACTTACTCTTTCTACCCAGGGAACCGCCCCATTTTCTCACTTGGACTCGAGGCCCAGAGGGCTTCCCTTCAGTCTCCGCGTCCTTGGGCAGACCCCCCTTCTCGTTCTTGCTTGGGGGATCCCCTCCCTCCTTCTCCACCGCCCCTGGCTGCCCCCCATCACCTGCCTCTTGGGTTTGGGGCCTGGTCCTCTGCTCCTCTTTGCCCTGGAGCTCACCCCCTTTCAGCCCTTTGGTCTGGGGTCCCCTGCCCCCCTTTTGGCCTTCTGATCCTTGGCCTGGGTCCCCAAGACCCCCAGTCCGGGTCTTCTCAGGCTTTGAAGCCAAGTCCTCAGTGGGGATCTGGGACCCAGAGGGACTCCCTGGGGTCTCCCCTGGCTTTTCGCCCCCGGGGTCTGTAACTGCGGGTGGTGTCTTGCAAGCGGGGGGATCACGGGCCTGGGTCCTCTGCTCTGGCTGGGCTGCTCCGGGGTCCAGCCTGGCCACCATCAGCAGCACGTCGCCCCCCAGCACACCCCTCCTGAAGGGCAGGCTCTTCTTGGCTGGGGTCGCCGTGAGGCCCGGCTCCTGGGGCTTCTCGCCATTGATGCTGGTCATCGGTGCAGGGGCAGTGCCGCCGGCCCCCTGGCTCTCCTTGCCCGGAATGCTTGTGCCCTGGGGAGGGGCAGACTGGCTGCCCTGGGGAATCTGTTGGCTTCCAGATTTCGTGCCCCTGTTGGTCTTGCTGTTTGGTGGACTGGTGGGAACTTCTGGGGTCTAGGAAGAGACCACCACCATGCTTAGCTGCTCACTGACCCTCCTCTGGGTGCTTCCCGACTCCCACCCTTCCCAAAGTTTGTCTGTCCTTTACACCTTCATCCACCCACTCATCCCCCCTGAGCTTCTCATGCACCTCCAAGGCCCAAGGGGCACCATGACGGGCAGTGAGGCTTGGCCCACAGCCTCAAGGCCAAGAGACAGAGTGAGAGGAGAGAGAGGATCCCAACAGAACCAAGTTCAGCCCCAGGCTCTGCCTCTCCCTAGCTGTGAAGCCTTGGGTAAATTGCTTCCCTTCTCTGAACTTGTTGACTTTTCAACAAACCAAGGATCTTAAAGGCCTGCCTTGCAGGGCAGGTGGGACAATTTGTGATAACACACAGAAACTGAGCCCAGCGCATAGTATGTCTTCAGTGACTAGAGCAGGCACCTCTGCGGCTATTGTTTTATTGGTATTGTTATTTATGCCTTGGTGCTTCCTGATGGGCCAGAAGGGGATCAGGGAAAGGACTCGGGTCCTGTCATTAAGGATCTGTTCTCATTCCTGGCTCCAATATTCTCCTGCTGGATGACCACAGATAGCACCATGGGTTCTCACTGAGCCCTGCCTCTGCACACGAGATCTGGGGGCTGCTCCACCCTTGTGTCTATACCACAGTCTTGCAGATGCCTGAGCCTCAGATGCCTGAGCCTGGGCACGGGGGCTCTCACCCTCCCCTGGCCTGCACACGTGCTGGGATCCTGTTGACCCCACCTCAGAGCCTCCCCTGTGTCTCCATCCCCAGGCCCAGTCTCTCTCATGGGCCACTGCCCAGCCTCTGATCTGAGCTCTCTTCTATTGGCCACCAATCATTTTACACCTGATCAAAAGATTTAGACAGCTGCCCACAGCCTACAGGAGAATCATCCAAACTGTGATCAGACATCCAGATCCTCGGTGAGATGCCCCCAACTGTCCCTGTCCAAGCTTTGGCTGCTCTGGGCACCTCTAACCAACCCAGTGGCTTCCCTGCCTCCACATGTGCCCATGCTGCGCTCAGGCCCCGCAGCTCTGCTCCTCTCCACCGCAGCCCCAGCCTTCAGCTTTTATACCCAGCTCAAATGTCACCCCTGGGGAAATCCATAGCCTGAAGCCCTCAACTCGAAGTTGTCTCACACATCCACAAAGTCCCAGAGCCTGTCACAGTAGCGCCCACGTTCTGCACCCCATTTTAGTTTATCCACGTGTCTTTCCTGTTTTCGGGGTCCATGCTGCCAAAGCACAGACCCCATCTTTGTGTGGTGATCATAACAGGATTAGGAGCAGCACATGCAGCCCTTTCATAACAGGCCCTCCATCGCCATGACCCAATGTCCTACTGAACCCCCATAAGGACCCACTGACAGGTTCTGCACTTTGCCCCATTATACAGACAAAGATGCAGACATGAAGATATCCAGTGGCCCCAGATACAGAGTGGGATTGCAAACCCAGGTCTCTGGACTCCCACTCCACACACCACATTACCTTCCTTGTTTTGTTCTAAGGCTCTTTGGAATCTCCTTGGGAGCTTTAGGAAATGCACATGATTTGTCCCCAAGCCCACAAACCCCAAGGTTGCCTGTCAGGGTTTTGGCTCCCGGGATGATCCCAATGTGTAACCAGAGCCAAGGCCCATATCTCTGGTACGGAGTGGCTCCGCCTGACCTTCCAGGGCCAGCAGGACATTAGCTCCGAATGGGGGCTGGCTGCACTTGGCAGGCCACGCCACTGTCTGCACTGTTTATGAAAAGTGAATCATTGCCTTATTTTTAACCAGCTGCTACGGGTGACCATGGACAGTGACTTGGAGACGTGCCAAATGGGAGAGCCAGCCCTGGCTGTGCCCCCTGCACACACACACACACACACACACACGTGCATTCTCCTCCTTAGGATTTTATAGTCACGAAAGCTCCGAGTCCCCTGTACCCCACTTAGCATTTGAAGGAAACAGCACCTCTGCAGTCACTGGCCAGGGGGAACGTCACAACACAGCTATGTTATAGACGAGGAAACCGAGGCCAAAGGATGGGAGGACTCTGGCCTGGACTTTACGACATGAAGGGGCAGGCGCCTGAACCCAGGTCTCCGTGACATGCCACCGAGGTCTGTCATTGTTCCAGGGATTCCTGGCCTGTCTTTGCCCCTCACTGGTGGGTGACTGGAGGGGATCGGGTCACTTCTTCAAGCCTTGTTTTCCCTTCCTGCAAAGTGGGGATGGGTTCCAGTGACCGACTCCCTGCAGGACTGTGTGAGGAGCAGAGGGACTGCTGGGCCAGGTCAGGGGGAGTGGATGCAGATCATTTACTGGTTGGGACAAAAAAAAAAAAAAAATTGAACTGGCCAGAGCCAGCCAGGGCTCACAGCCTCGCCGGGACCTGTTCTCAAGGCCCCTGCTCGGCCATCTTGGCCTGTGGTGCCCCCATCTGCCCTGGCCTGAGGCTGCCCACCTCCTGTCTTGGCTCTCAGTCTCCACCAGCCCAGCAGGGGCAACTAATCCCCTGTCTCAGCTCAGTTCTGTTCCTTTACTTGCTCCCAGGGACGCCACCAGGAATGTCACCAGGGCCTGTGGACTTTCAGGGCCCCACACTGGCCACCCCCTTCACCAGGCCAGCCTTTCCCCAGGTGGCTCCTGAGAGCAGAGAACACAGACTCATGCCCTGCAAGTGACGTGAACTGCCCAGGCCTCAGTCTCCACCTCTGATAAATGGGTCTGATCCCATCCACCCCACTGCTGCGTGGGGTCCCTGCTGCACCCGTGAGCAGCCAAGTGAGCATCATTTCATGACAAACAGCACACAGTGACTCTTATCATGATCTCGCAACTGCCCTGCCTTAGGTCAGGCAGGGGTGGGGACAGAGCCTCTCCTCCCTGCTATGTTCCCCCACAAAGTCTTGACGGGGGCGTCTCCACAGCTGCTGCTGTTCAGGATGTCTCTGACACCGCAAAGCCACGGTGATGGACAGGCCTGGTCAGCCAAACAGGCTGGAGCAGAGTGGGAGGCGGAGCCCCGATGGCCGGGACTGCCCGACCTGATCACCGCAGCATTCGCCTTGGCCTCAAGGGGGCGCTGGAGAGACGCCCTGTCCCCAAGGCGGCCTTTGCGCTGCATGGGGTTCCACGGTGGCTTCACCCCAGCACCTGCTCAGAACAACCAAAGGACTGAGCGGACGGCAGCCGATAACAACGGACGCCCGCCAGGGCAGGGTCCTGAGTCCTAACGTGGCCACGCACTGACCCCTTAATTATTCGGTGGTGGCTATTTCAAGGAACTTGGGGGAGCATGGCAGCCACAGGACACTGCGGGCCTTGGGGTTATGCGCACTTGCTACCCTATTTTAACACCCACACAGCCAGACCTGCGAGCACCAACCGAATTCTCTTTTCTGCTTACACTAAACCCACTGTGCATCTTAGTCCGTGTCTAGATCCTCCTATTTGCAAAAGTCAGAATAAAATAACCCCCCCCCATCATAGATCAACCGACCACTCATCCGTTCCTCCATTCATTCAACAACCATTTGTTGAATAATCGCTAGGAGACATGTTCCAGATCAGTCACCAGATCCGACCATGGCCGTGGTTTCCATACTAAACCAGACACAGGGAACAGGGGAAATGGGAGGAAGGAGGGCGATACAAGGTCCCGATGCACCAACTGATTTGGGTCGTGAAGGTTGCAGAGGAGCTCGACCCACCAAGCTCAAGAGAAGACGCTCCTCAAGGTGGGGGCGGCCGGAGCAAAGGCAGACGCGCAAGGGACTCAGTCGATGACCAGAGGGTGGGTGTGTAGGCCCGGCCTCTGTGCCTCGGCGAGGCCACTTACCTCTCGTTCTGGGGAGGCCAGCGCCGCCTGCTTCCTGCGCCTGGCTTCCTTGGACTCTTTCTCCGTCTCGCGGACCAGTTGCCTGATGAAGCCCCCCGGGATGACGGAGAAGAGGGGAGGGGGCGAGGACGGCGGAGGACTCTTGTCCTCTTCCCGGATCTGTGTGGCAGAAGCAGGGGAGGAAGACCCAGTGAGCCCACCGGCAGGCTGAGGTCGCCAGGGCGCCTGGGCCGGCGAGGAGGACAAGTGCCACCAAGCGCAAGAGCGAGGGGACGTGCAAAGTAGGTGGCACTCCGCGGGAGCTGGGGGACCTGGGACAGAGCATGACGGGGACACGGAGCAGCAGAACCAGTCGGTGGGTCTCCTCCTGGCTCCCGTGGCCCTGAGACACGACTCTGGGCCACAGACCTGGGCAGGTTCCCTTCCTTGGCTGGGGACAGACCCTTCCCTGGGAGGACCACGCAGAAAGGAGCTTCTAGGGATTTCCAAGGGGATGGGTCCCAAGGATCCACCGCGCTCTCCTGCCCGCTGCTGGGAGTTAATATAGTACTTGCTCACTTAGTGATCACTCCCTGTGTGCTGGGAACAGGGCAGCGTGGGGAGGCCCGGCTGCCTTGGTGTACACTGAGTCAGCCCCTGTGTCCTTGGATCCTGCATCCCATCCCTAGACGGGACCCACCGTGGGTGGAAGGTGTTCGAGGAAAACCATGGCGTAAACCCCTGCAGGCTAGGACTCACCAATGACTTAACAGCTATTGGGGGAGTGGGGTACCAGGGAGTGAACTCAGGCGCATAATCACTGAGTACATTCCCAGCCCCTTTTTATTTTTAATTTTGAGATAGTCTTACTGAGTTGTTTAGGGCTTTTCTAAATTGTTGAAGCTGGCCTTGAACTTGAGATCCTCCTGCCTCAGCCTCCCCAACCGGTAGGATAACAGGCGTGCGCAGCTGCACCCAGCAATATAACAAGGTTTGCATTAACTATGCAGGACGTTATCTGCAAATATGACACCGTTTTATATGACGGACCGGATTATCTGCAGACTTTGATGACTCGCAAGGGTCCTGTCCCTAGTTCCTGTGGACTCTCAGGAGCCCCCGTGCAGGACCCAACCCCGTGGCTGCAGCCCTCTGCACTGACCTCTCTGTCTGCTTGGTGGTCCTTAAACCAGGACCCAGGCAGCCAGGGACTGCCCAGTACTGGATCCTAAAATGGGTCACCTGGACACCAGCAATTTTGCCCTAGAAATGGAGCCAGACCAGAGCCGGCTGGACGTGCTTGTAGCTGAGATTCCCTACTGGCCACAGTGACCTTGGGGGCTGAGACCTGGAACTCGCTGTGGCCAGCTGGGGTGTGTCTTTACCCTCTTCCCTGTCACTCCCACAAGAAAGAAAAAAAAATCAGCAGCGCTTTCTGTGGAAGAGCCACAGGCTGGCTTAAAATAAACTCGCCATCAAGGTCCTCTGCGCCCGCCTGGTGACGCGGGGCTCTGCAGCCCAGCTGATAAGGGGATCCAAAGGGGTAGGAGACAAAGAGGCAAAGCAGAGCCTGGGGACACGGCGGCGGTGACCCCAGAACGAGGGCAGACAAGCTGGGGTCCCACCCACCCCACTCTTCTCTGTCCCTCCGGATGCAACCAGGACCCACTCGATGCGCCCAGGTGAGCCCAATCCTAGCGTCCACCTCTGCTGTCCCCCACTCGCTCCTAGAACTACGCCCAGGTCAGACTGTGGGGCAGGGGACCCCAGCAGGCAGCCAGAGGAGGCCTCTGCCCCCAGTGGTCAGATCCCAAGCGCGGGAGGGCCCTTCCTGAGACCTGGGAAGCAGCTACAGGGAAGACAGAACTAACTGGAAGGGAGTCCTGTCCTGTTCTCCATGGTGACGGGGCGGGGCCATGGTCTGTCTCTGCCCCCACACCCCGCTCCCCCACTCCCCTCCCCCAGGGCTCATCAGGACACAAGGGAGTGAGGTGGACAGCTGGTCACCCTGGCTGCCCGGCCTCCCCCAAGGAACAGGGTGGACAGGCAGCTGTGGGAGGAGCCAAGGGCAGGGCCCAATGCCCCGCTGGGTCAGGAAGGCCTTGGCTGAGCAAGCTGGCTGGGCGGTGATGGGAAGCAGGATGACATGTCACAGGCAGAACTGGATGTGACCCCCCACCCGAGGAGGGAAGGGCTGGCTTGGGCCACTCAGATTTGTCCTCCAGGACTAGAGTTGGCCCCTGAAGCCCCAGTCCCAGCCCCAGGCACCACTTTCCTTCTGCTCCCACAAGGCGAGGCGTGATGAGATGGCCATGCTGAGGCAGCCCTGCTGGGGTGGTGAGGCGATGAGATGGTGAGCCAAGATGGCGCTCCCGCCAGACAGCACGGAATGAGGCTCTAGGGACACACGTAGCACATGAGATGGGTGGACACAGGCCTGGCACAGAGACACAGCGGGAGAGAAGAGAGAGATGGTTAGACCTGGGCACAGTCCCATCCCACTGCCACCAATGCCATAAATCATGACCAGATGGGGATGGGACAAGCAGGGACAGCTACTGCCCTTCACTCCTGCCAGGAGTATTGTCAGCAAGGAGGCCCTGGCCATGGAGTGCACAGCACCCTGCACCCTCTTCCTCTCGGCTCCACACTTGAACTTTACACAGTCAGGAAAATACACAATTATCCACAGGAATCTCAGCAGCTTTTGAGAGAAGACCTGCAGGACTGAGTCCCCTCTGAATGCCTTCAATGACAGTTTTATTGGCAAAACTTCAGGAGCCGGGCTCCAGGGGACTTGAGTAATGGTTTCTGAATCACCTCATAGGTGAAGCTCTGCCACCCTGCCACCAAGATTGGCCCCTTAGGCTGAGGACTGGGCTCAGTGGTAGAGCCCTTGCCTAACCCGAGTGAGGCCCTGGGTCTGGTCCCAGCCACACATACACACACACCACACACGACACACCACACCACACACACCACACCACACACACCACACCACACACACATACATAACACACCACACAACACACACACACCACACCACACACACCACACCACACACACATACACAACACACCACACACACCACACACCACACACCACACACACCACACCACACCACACACACCACACCACACCACA